TGGTAAATCAAAAATGTTTGGCACATAGCCCTTCCTTTTTGAAGTCAGTCTCATGAAGAGAGAAATGATTTTGTGTAAATGTTTCTCACTGCCACAGCTATTGATACTAGGTACTTCATGTATCTCTCACTTAATCCTTACTATAAGTCTTTCAGCAGATGGTATTCTGTTTTATACCTGAGATGATTGAGGCTAAGAGAAGTTAAAGTGATCCACTCAGGGTCAAAGCTAGGTTAGGGGCTCAGATCTGACTCTGAAGCCCATGCTTTTTCACTGTTTTATACCTTAGGACAGTCAGTTCAACCACATGTGGTGTTTCGTATATTTTTATGGCTCAGTATTCTGATGATAATTTAAAATAGGCACAATAAATTGGACAGACAGGCGTGAGTTTATACAGTTTGGGAGCAGAAAGGGCATACATTCAAGAAAAAGTAAAATTGTTAAAGGATACATTCCATCCTAAATAGGTATCTACACAAGAATATATTGCTAAGGAGAGATTTTTGTGTCTTTGTTAAGGATCAGGAAGAGAAGCATGAAACTTTCAGATGGCTAAGATCTTAGCATAACACGGGTACAGGCAACAAACAATGAGGTGAATTTTAAATGTTATTTTTAAAGATCAGGTGAAGTTAAAAATTAGAAAACTGTCAAGGTTGCAGTTTAAAAAATTAAAATGTTTTAATAAATAAATAATTTTAGATAGGAAAAATTTAAAGCAAATGCATATTTTGAAAGCATAGATTTTTGACTTAAATCTAGGAAAAAAGCATTCAGGCCAGTGGTAAGAAAACCTGCTTTAGTGCTCTCTGTGACTCTTTTTTTTTTTTTTCTCTGTGACTCTTATAGATTGGAAAGAATATTAACTGTGAGGTCCGTTTACCTGTGATTGAGCAGATTATTTAAACAGATTATAATGATTTTTTTCATCTATAAAACATGAAAAATAATGTCTGCTTTCTGAGTTGTGCCAAGGATTAAATTAGTTTATGTATGTAAGTCCGGGGCTAGTAGTAGTTACTAAATTTTTTTTTTTTTTGGAAAGGACAGTAAGAGAATGAGCTTTGGATCAGATTTCTTAATAGAAACAAATTTCAGGAGAGTGTTCAAATTATTTCATTATAGTGGAATTTTCTCAAATTGAATATTGCTCAGACTATGCTCAGTGGTTTGGATTTTTATTATACAGAGATTTTCATTTCTTTGACACTACATGTTCTCTTACATCCCTTTTAGTTAAGAGTCATGGTTCTCAGTCTGTTGGAGCCTGACTCTGCATGTATCGTTCTAATTGCAGGTCCTCTGTCCTCCTCACTGTTTCCACCTCCTGCTCCCTTGTCACTGTGTTGGCCTTCTGTTCTCTCTCTGTGCATTTTTAGAGGAAGGGGTAGATAACTAGCAGATTATTTAAAGGCCAGTTTCTGAAATAAGAGTGTCTGAGCCCTAGCTTCACTAGTTATCATGACCTTGGGTGAGTTACTTAACCTCTCTGAATCTTAGTTTTCCCATGTGTAAAATTGGCACAGTAATAATTCCTATCTCTTGAAGGTGTGGTGAGTATTGAGTGAGTGAAAGTTTATAAGGTTCTTGGAATGATACTTTGCACCTACCAAAGCTTAGTGAATCTTAGCTTAATATTTTGATAATACAAGTGACTTTTAACTTTAAGCCTGTATGTTGATTCCTGTTCTCTCTTCTAAAGTGCAGTCTTGTATCTCTCACTGCTAGGCATTCTCTCTCATACCTTCCTACATAAAGGTGTTTACTTTAAACATATGTCTAAAATCAAACCCTTAATCCCACATGAAGACGATCTTTTTCATTGTGCGTATGTGATTTAAGTGTAGATACAGAGTAAAGAGGGGCTTCCCTGGTGGCTCTAATGGTAAAGAACCTGCCTGCACTGCAGGAGACCTGGATTTGATCCCTGGATCAGGAAGAACCTGTGGAGAAGGAAATGGCAACCCACTCCAGTATTCTTGCCTGTAGAATTCCATGGACAGAGGAGCCCTGGTGGGCTATAGTCCATGGGGTTGCAAAGAGTCAAACACAACTAAGCAACTAAAGCTTTCACATTTCACTTCAAAGAGTAAGTAACGAAAATTAATTTGATTATCAAATACTTAGAAATATCTTAATAAATATCTATTAAAAGTTGCCAATTGTGTTATCAGAATTTTGAGCAGGGTATTTGCTGCTTCATGCCCCCCCGCCCCCTTTTTAAACTTGAAAAAACTACTAGATTTGACATAGAGGATCTTTACTAAATTAGTAAGTGTCCAGAAAGAGAATTGACTCTATTTATGCCCAAGAGAATTCAGAAACACAGTAAATGCCTTTCTTATATCTATTCTGGTCTCCCTGCTCATAGACTCTCATATGGAATCTCATAGGACAGCTATTGGTTTATCATAGTTTTCAGGCCCAGCACCCTTTTTAAAACCTTGATTATCTGTTGACACTTAGGCACAAAATTAGCAGTCAGTGAGTAGCTCTTAAGTAAATGAGTCAAAAGAAGTGCACGATACAATGTACATGGTCCCTGCTATCAAAGTTTATAAATCAAATAGGAATGATAATACCAAGAAACAGTTTTTAAAAGTCTAAAACTCCATTATATAAAGATGTGTCAGGATAGGAGGGGGCTTCCCGGGTAGCTCAGCTGGTAAAGAATCTGCCTGTAATGCAGGAGACCCTGGTTTGATTCCTGGGTCGGGAAGTTCCCCTGGAGAAGGGATAGGCTACGCACTTCAGTATTCTTGCCTGGAGAATCCCCATGGGACAGAGGAGCCTGGCGGGCTACAGTCCGTGGGGTCTCAAAGGATCGGACACAACTGAGCGACTAAGCACAGCACAGCACAGGATAGGAACAAATAATACTTTCTGTGGACATTCAGTAAGTGAAGAGAAAGGCTTTTGGAGATGAGGGGCTTGAGTGAGACCTCGCATGTGTGCTACTAGACGCTTTGTGGGCTGAGTACATGTAAAAACTGCCCCTTTGATACTGTATTAGTTCTCCCCTCAGAAGCAGACTGCCTCTTGCTTTTGCTTTAAAAGAGACTAGATCTTAGCAGTCCATTATGCAAGCCAGAGAAAGACTATTTTATGTGAAAATGCACGTTTATTGCACTTTCCTCACTACATAATATTATAGTAAGTTGTTCTGTCTCTGCAATTAGAGTGTAAGGTCCTTGAGAAGATGGACTGTATCTGCTTGGGTTCTTATTTCCTACATACTTTGCATATAGGAGGCACCCCATAAACATTTGTTGAACAAGAGTTCTCCTAAGGGGTAAGGATGTGTCATATTATTACTTGTTTCCTCATATGCCCTAAAATGAATTATTTCCTGAAATTGATCCTTGCAGTATTTATTCAGTCTTCACTGATTTTGTTCCTACAATTTAGCTCACCATACAACAGGTGCCTGAGAATTGACCTTCCTCTAGTCCAGCAGAGTCATTTTTTGACAGCCTTCAGTTTGACCAGGTCTAATACTTACAGATCGGGTCTGATACAAAGATTGATCTATAAGCAATAGCTAAAGAGTAAGAATGATAATTTCTGTGAAGACAGGTACACACTCAATGCACAAATTCCCTGGTCTGAATATGTTTAAATGAATATTTTTAACTGAGTATGTTTAAATGCTCCTTAGCTTGCCCCTTAGCATACCTCTTTCTAGAGCACAAACATGCATTCTGTGTTGAAGGTCTTTGGCTTTCTCACTTTCCAGGCCTTCCTAATGTCTTCTAAGAATTTACTCTCTCTCCATTAACCACTAATTAAGAGAAAACTGTAGTATCTGGGGATAAATTGCCACATCCCATTTCCTTCTCTGTGAGCAGGATTTCCAATTTTCAAGCCTGATGGGATCTCCCAGCTGGAACAAGATCTACAAGTCTTTGATCTGGAAACTAAGAATAGAGAAGTCTTAAGAGATGACTGCTCAGGTGAGTAAGGCAGAATCAATCAGATGAACTAGTTGGGAAGTAGAGTCTAGTTGTTGAGCCAAGCTGTAGCTGCTTTGGAAGTCAGTGAAGAGCTCTGTCTATATCCCTGAACAAAGAGCTCTTTCCTTTCCCCTTTTTTATTGATGAACTCTTTCCAGTTATTTTGTTCCTTATCCATAAGATGTAGTAGGTCCCTATTCAAGTTACTTATCTATAATTCTGTTGAACTAGTTGCCTGTTGTCTCTGTTGAAACACCTTAATTGGTTATCTTCTTACTTTGCTGAACCTGCCCTCTGTTTCTATCACACCCTGAACCACTTGGATCCGGCCTCACTGCTCGTATTCATGCCCATACATCACTGTTGAGATTTTGTGCCTGTTTCAAAGTAAATAAACTTCTCTTACTCTTGTAGACTGTAGATTATTTAGTTTTCTCCTCTAAGTTTTCTTTTTCTAAGCACAGGGTACAGATTATATTTGCATTTTCTATTTATATATTGAATCAGATGGAGAGACCAGAGAAGAGAACAAGCTGTTGATTCCTAAGCAGAAAATTCCAGAAGAAGTACATTCATACAAAGTGAGAGTAGGAAGATTCAAAAAGGATATTGCCCAAGTTCCTGAGACTAGAGAAGTGTATAAGCCTGAGGACAGATTAGAAAGGCTTCAGGAAATCCTAAGAAAATTTCTCTTCCTGGAGAGAGAGTTTAGGCAAATAACAATCAGTAAGAAAACCTTCACCAGTGAGAAGAACAATGAATGTAATGAACTTGAAAAAAGCTTCAGTCTGGACTCTACTCTTGATACAGATCAGAGAGTTCTTAGAATACAGAATGTTGATGACGTTGATAAGTATGATGTGAGCCTCAACCAGCATTCAGCTGGTAAACAGGAACACACAAATCTAACACAGGATTTTCACAGTAATGATTATAAGGACAGTTTAATGGAACTCTCCCACCTTAGTAACTGTGAGAGCATTCCTACCACTGAGAAATCTTACAAATGTGATGCATGTGAGAAAATCTTCCATCAGAGCTCAGCCCTTTCTAGACATCAGAGAATTCATACTAGAGAGAAACCCTACAAATGTAAAGAATGTGAAAAGTCTTTCAGTCAGAGTTCAAGTCTTAGTCGACATAAAAGAATACACACTAGAGAAAAACCCTATAAATGTGAAGCATCTGATAAATCCTGTGAGGCGTCTGACAAATCTTGTAATCAGAGCTCAGACATACTTCAGCATAAGAGGGTTCACACTAGAGCAAAATCTTATAAATGTAGCAGTTGTGAAAGGGTCTTCAGTCGTAGTGTACACCTAACTCAACATCAGAGAGTTCATAGAGAGATGCCTTGTAAGTGTACCGTGTGTGGCAGTGATTTCTGTCACACCTCACACCTAGCTGAACATCAGAAGGTCCATGATGAAGAGAAGTCCTATGAATACAATAACTGTGGGTTGACCTTTATTAAACATCAAGGAATTCGTCCCAGAGAAAAGCCCTATACGTGTAATGAATGTGGAAAAGACTTCAGATTGAATTCTCATCTTATTCAGCATCAAAGAATTCACACAGAGAAACCGCATGAATCTAGTGAAAGTGGAAAAGCTTTCAGTCAAACCGCATGCCTTATTCAGCATCACAAAGTTCATAGGAAAGAGAAATCCTATGAGTGTAATGATTATGAGGATAATTTCAGCCATAGCTCAGATCTTGTCCTGCAACAGGAAGTCCTCACCAGAGAAAAAGCCTTTGATTGTGATGCGTGGGAAAAGAGCCTCAGTCAGAGAGCGCACCTTGTCCACCATCAAGGAATTCATACCAAAGAGAAACCTTATGAATGTAATGAACGTGGGGAGATATTTAATCAAGTTCAGGCCTCATTCAACATATGAGATGTCACACCAGGGAGACATCACGTGTGTCCTGAATGTGGTAAAGCCTTCAGTCCCAGCTCAACCTTCATTCAGCATCAAGGAATTCATACCAGAGAGAAACCTGAATGTGACAAACTTTGGAAAGTTATTAGTGTTGCACTCTTGACACCTGCAAACCCATACCAATGAGAAAACCTACAAACACATTGAATGTGATAGATGCTTCACGCTATTTTCGTACCTTAGTATCATTGGAGAATTCATACTGGAATAAAATTCCGTTGCTATAATGAATGTGAAAAAGCCTTCAGTCAAAGAAACTACCTTGTTGAGCATCAAATTCATTTCATGCTGAATACCTATGAATGTAATAAATGTGTATGTGTGGGAGGATTCAGCCATATTTCCAGCCCTCATTCAGCAGCAAAGAATCCATACCCAAGGGAAGTCCTTTGGGTATAGGAAATGTGACAAGTCTTTCAGTAGGAGTTTAAGTCCTTTTTCATCATCAGAATGTCCACACCAGACTGGAGTCTGATATAATGCAAGTGGAAACATTTAGCACCATATTTCAGGCTTTATTCAATATCAAAATATTGAAGGGAAAATTATTATTTGTGTATAAAATAGTTAATACATAGTCCCAGTCTTTTTCCCTGGAGAAGACTCTAGTCAGAGGAGTGATTTGGTGAATGCAGTGCTGTTTTCTCATGGCATTCTTGTATTTAATAGGTGTTATACTTTATTTTTGGAACTTTATTTTATAAATATACTTTATTTATGGAACTCAAGCTATTTTTATTTTAATGTGGCCTATAAACATTTTTATTTTTCCTGAAATTGGTTTTTATTGTCCAATAAATGCTTCCCTGATACATTAATACACCAACGTTAAAACAGTAACTTCTGGAAAGTTTCTCTCATTTAGCTTTTTCTACTATTCTCAGCCAAAGTTCTCTCCAAAACAGACTCTTAGGCCTGCTCTTTTCCGAGGATCCTATTCCTTTCCCGCCACAGCATTTGGATTCCTGTTGGTTTCTCCATTCTCTTAAGCACCTTCAGTGATGGTTTCCTAGTTTTAAGCTTTAAGCCAGTGGTATGCCATCCCTACTTACTTTTTGGGTGTCTTCTTTCCAAAGCAAAATATCTTTAAAAGAAATGGATTTTCACACTCTTGTCTGTTCATGAGTATGAGGATTCTGTTTCCCCTGAGTCTGTGGCAAGAAGCTAAACATTTTCAAGTGACACCCAAGTTCTTAGCTTGTTAGCATTCACAGCCTTCTGAGAGAGATGAGAAACACAGTAGAAGCTGACAATACTGGTGGTAGCCTAGCTATATTCAGTGTCTATTCTGCATGTCTAAGTTCAGGATGATTTATGTCCATTAAAGGCCAGCAGAACACTCAAGTCTGCCTTTGATAGGGCAAAACATAAAAGAACGTATGTTAAGAGATCAAAGATCTTCATAAAGGAATACTGCCTTCCTTCAGATACTGCGGTTTTTGTGTAGTATCTCAAGAGTATTTCAAGAATGGCAGAAAAGCCTGTAAACATTTAACTGTTACGGTTGCTTCATTATCTGTTTGGAATTGTTTACATATCATATATATATATATATATATATTGTATTTTACAAGAGTCTACAGGCCATATAAAAACCTTTTTCTTTTGATTGATGAAATTGATCACAGACGTTGGCTACACAGATCAGGGTCACTGTCATAACAGTTAGCAAGAGTTCATGATTCTTCAGATAATGTCAAAGTATTTGATTGTATTTTCCCATCTTAAGCATCATAACATTTTGTGAATAAGGCAAGTGTTATTTAAAACTCTAGTTGTTGTTCCAGCGATTGAGTTCACCTGTTAAAATACTTACTAGGGATCCTCAACAAGTAATACAAAAATGCATTGCTTACTTTGTAAGCCTCTTCTGCCTAATAAGCTTTAGGGTAGTTCTACCACCGTATTTTACCTTTTAGCCATCAGCAAGCATAGGATCTCATCTGGACAAGGTAGGGACCAAAATGAATTGATATAAATGTAAAAGCATATGGAAACAAATGCATGTTTTTTTTCTTTCCTATCTATGAACATGTATACCCTACTAATAGAGACCACCAGTAGTCACCTCTGGTGATTATGAAACAGCAGGTTCAGTAATCTCAAATAGCAGGAAATGTAAAAATCACATGTTATGCGTTTGGTTTAGGAATGTGCTTTTTGTACTTCCACTTAAATAAAGGTGTGTTTGATACTCTGAGAATCTGTTTCAAATAAAATCTGAAGTCCTCAGCCCAAAGTACTTGGGAATCTTAGAATCACCTTCCTGTCTGCAACTCAGTTCTTTCCAGAAAGCTGACTCACAGCAGGAGTAGGTCACTCCTTCCTGCAGGTATAGTGCTTGGTCCTCCACAGAACTCTGGAATAAAGTCTGAATGTTTACAACTTTAAAGGGATACTTGACTGGGATGCTGTTGGCACATGAAGTAAATGGGTTGAGTAGAGTTAGGCAGAATGTGTTTTTTCAATAAAACATTTAAAAAAATGAGAAACCAGATCAGCACAACATTGTAAATCAATTCAACTTCAATAAAAAATTCTTTTAAAGTGAGAAATCAAAATAATCCTTGAGGACAAGTAACTTGTCCATTTAAGCTTGTTGATATTTAATTGGTCCAATATAATATGTGCTCTTAGTCTTTTTAGTCTTGAAGACAGGGAAGGAAGAGAAGGAATCTAATAGTTGGGACACCTAATTTTGTCTCTTCACCTGCTATGTACACATCTATGTATATATGCACATATCTGAATAATCCTCACAACTCTAAGGGAAGAAACGGTTGAACGGAGACACTGAAGTGTAGAGAGGTTGAGAAGAACCTATAGGATCACACAGCAAGCTCAAAGTCAGGGATGTTTGACTCTAAAGGTTTCCATCATCTTGATGTTAGTGTCTGACATACGAACTCGGAGAAGAGACATTTTCTTTGATAGCTCTTCATTCCCTGTTACATACTTGATTCACCATCAGTTGTCAGCTGATCCTAAATGCTCCCAGAGCTCTCCAGGAAGCTGGGAGAAAATAGCCCAGTATCTTCTGGAAGCTAGGTAGAACCATCCCTCTCTCACCCACCCCCAATCTTTTTTTGTTTGTTTGTTTGTTTTCACCCCCAATCTTTAAAGCAGGTTTAGACGGTTTTGACAAAGTCAGGCCATGGGTTAGATCTCCCAAATTCCCATCTCCTGCTAAGACATCCCCAGTGCCATCAGTAGGTTTATATTTACACTTCTTTGTGCCCCAAATGCATTCACTTTTTTCTGCTAACTAGAACTTACTGATGGATACATATCCTTACCAAAGTTTGTTACCACCTCTGGTTATATTCAGCTGTGGAGCAAAGTGAGCAATGGGAACATCGAATTTGAGTCCTAGGTTTTCGGCTTGAGCAAGAGTAGATAAGAGGTAGACTGGAGAGATGGAGAGCACTGAGTGTTTTAAGAAGTCCTGCAGAGGAAGGAGTGTGGCATTTTCAAGGCGGTAATAAGTGAGCTCTTCAGAGAATGCCTCACCCTAGGAGATATTACATGGGTAACTGAGAATTTAAGAATGAAGTTCAAAGGAAGCCCCTAGCATGTTATCTCAGAAACTGGAGTTTCTCACATTAAAAAATATAACCTGGTATGTCCTTTCATTCATTCAGTCATATAGTTGCCAGACAGTATGTTTAGTGCTAGCCAATGGATACAGTTAACCTAATCAAATGAATTAGTCCATTGAATAAAAAAGATTAGTCAAAGCAATGAGTTTGGAATTAGGCATACCTATGTTTGAACTTTATTAGCTATGACTTTGGACATTTTCCCTAGCCTTCCTATTTTTGGCTATACAGTGTGGTGAATAATAGCATGAATGTTAAGTGAGATAATGTAAAAGCTACTGGTTGTATAGTAAGTGCCCAAAAGTTATTAGTGTAAATAATATCAAGCCCACCATATTACAGTAGAGATACTTAGCAGAAAATCTAAAAATGAGGGAATGAATGAGCAAGTATTTACCGGTGCAGGACTAGCATTGTCCAGGGAGGGACACCCTGAGCTTCAGTTCAGTTCAGCTCAGTCGTTGAGTCGTGTCTGACTTTGCGACCCATGGACAGCAGCACTCCAGGCTTCCCTGTCCATCACCAACTCCTGGAGCTTACTCAAACTCATGTCAGTTGAATCGGTGATGCCATCCAACCATATCATCCATTGTTGTCCCCTTCTCTCACCTTCAATCTTCCAGCATCAGGGTCTTTTCTAGTGAGTCACTTCGCATCAGGTG